CAACTCGAGTTGTGATGGTGGAAAGCTTTCAACAGTGCAGTTGATGGTGATGGAGTGACCTTCTGTGACCTCAGTATCCATAGACAGCATAGGAATGGTGGGAGGATCTGTGGAGGGGAAGCAGCTGTGTGCTTGAGTTTCAGTTAAAGCTTAAACACTTAAGAGTTCGACATTTTAGGAAATCTACTTAGATGCTTTCTGGCAAATAATTAGATCAATAACAGATCTCATGTCTGTCCATTGAATGTAAGCCCGCAACCAGCAGCCAGTAGTTTAGCACAAAGATGGAAACAACTAGCCTGGCTCTGTCCAAAGGTAATAAAGTCAGCCAACCAGTTCAGTCATCAACACTATATCTGATCTGTATCAAAACTGAAGTTTAAAAACTACAGTTTGCAATTTGCACAACATGGAATTATAGGCCACCTGTTTCTTGGGAGCAGTAACTTGCCTTGCAGCTGCTGGCTGTAAAATGATTAACTGCTGTTTTTCCATTTAAGTTTTTGTATGGCTTAAACAAATGAGATACAACTTGTTCATTTGTGAGCTTTAGATGTGCTGGGAGGTGGTATTTTTAACCATTACACAGAGCCAGACAAGCAGTTTCCAGACTTATGATAGGCTAAGCTACCTAGCTGCTGGCTTCAGCTTCATATTTGCCTTATAACGAGTTACTGTACAGAGTTTATTTAGTCTTCTCATCTAACTCTCCGCCAGAAAGGGAAATAACAATGATAATTGTAACAATAAAAGTAATGACTTTCACAATCAAGTGTAAATGCTGACACTTGATGTAAAAGTTTAAACTTAATTATGACAGAACATTTTCAGAATGACAGAATTACTTACAGAGAACTTCTATGCACAGCGGCTGACTATCCCACCCTGTAGAGATGGTGTTGGTTGCGTTGCACCTATAACAAGCCTGATCTGTTCTTTGTACAGGCCCCAAACTTAATCTGTTGTAGTTAGTTGTCTTGTACTCCCACTGTGATGAGGAAATCCGTTTACTATTTTCGTCGCGGGACCAGGAGTATGTCATCGGGGCAGGATTAGCATCAGTGTCACAGGTGAATGTAAGGTTGGTACCAACTTGCACTTTCCTATCATTTCCAATAATGGAAATGTTCGTCTTCCTTGGACCGTCTGAAAGGGAAAACTTTTTTTTAGTATGCTTTCTATGGTGATACTGTCATTGGATTTATTTCCTTTTGCTATCATCATCAACCATGACAAACATGCAATACAAGGAGCTGTTAAACTTACATTGAACCTCAATGTGAAGCGGCTCTGATGTTCCAGTGCCTGCAGAGTTTGTGGCACTACATTTGTAGAGTCCACCGTCCTCACGCTTAATTTGATGAACATATGTCTGACTCGAATTAATATGTTTCTCATTTTGAAACCAAGTGTAGCTTTGAGGTTCTGGTTTGCTTCTCTTTACACTGCATGTTAAAGTAATTTTATCTCCTTCTTTAACCTGATTAGCATGTGGGGTCATCTTTACCTCAACTTGAGGCACATCTGAAACAGACATTTTAAATATTTAAATATTTTTTACCACAGCAAAATGTCAAAAAAATAAAAAAACAGCAGTATTACAGGAGTTAAAACTATTTTTAATCAAAAACACACTAAATTTAAATTAAAGTAAAAAATATAGGAGGTACTCACATGTAACAGTAATATTCACTGGGCTTGATTGCACCCCATGTTTGTTGTGAGCTTCACAGAGGTATTCTCCACTCTGTGATTCCTCAATTGAATCGATCTTCCATTCTGGCCCCGGGAACGTTTGATTATTTTTAGACCATTTAAAAGTTGGAGTAGGATGTCCTTTCGCAGAGCAAATCAGAGTCACATTCTCTCCTTCCCTGATGTTCGTAGTAGTGTTTACAGAAGCCTTTATGTCTTTAGGAGCATCTGTGTTAACAAATTCAATAGTAAGTAAGGAGAAATCAGTTTACATACAAACATAGATGGATTCTTAAGGCAAATCAAATATGCATAAGAATGAAGTCATATTGTGTTTTTTAGTTTCAGTAAAGAGTTATTTAAAGGAGCCCAACAAATAGCCTGAGTATGAGTTTAGCACAAATTAACAACGTAATTGCATGACTTTTTTTGTTTTTTTCCTGACATATAAGCTGTTTGAGAAATAAATGTTAGAGAGCATGGAACCTGCAAAAGTGATGTAATTCAGTGGTGTTGCATGCCACTTTTAATGTTGCCTTGTTTTTTATCATATTATTACCACTAAAAAGCAAATTCTGCTTGCTTACTCTGATCTTAAAAGAAGAATCACTAGTAGTAACTTAGGGGTAACACCTGTAGATATTGTTAGCTAATGTATTCTTCTCCAAAACCTTCCATGTCTAAAATAAATAAATAATAATAATACATAATTAAACTTTCCATTCATGAACTTACATTCGACAGTTACACTGATATTCCGAATCAAATATGTGTCTTTGTTATCTTGTGTTTTGCATGAAAATTTCCTCCCATCATCCTGCCAGTTGGCTGTGAAATTGACTTTGGTGCTTTTCTGTTTTTCATCTGGTTGTTGAAGGTTTGACAGTGTTGGTGACAGTTGTGTCAAATCTTCAATCTCAGGGTTTGAAGGACATGAACGTAGAGTGGAGCATGTGAGCGTGATCGTGTCCGATTCATTCACAACAGGTGGTTTCTCAAAAGTGATCGGGCATGGATTTTCTGAAAATGTGAAAATAAGACCTATCAGCAGAAATGTAATGGTGAATGAATATATGGCATAAGAAGCCCACGGATATACAGAAATAGTAACGAAATTTCTGGCTGTTCCCTTTTGGAATCTTTTTGCAGATATTTTAAAGAATAAAAAAATATGTTTTGTCATAATGTAATTGCTTTTACATACTATTACAGCTTCATTTCCCATTCTAAAAATATGACGTTAATGGGTTCTTATAAAATGAGAATGTTAGTATGTGATATTCATAAAGAGACTTAATTCCTCTAAAAACTATAACTTTAATCTTAACTTAAATCGATCATTTCTCCAGATCAGCTCTCCAGATCAGCTCTCCTGATCTCTCAGGGTTTGTATACCTCATTTTGTTGTGTATTTCCGGAAAATATCTGATCTTTGTACTTACCTGTAACTGTGAGGGTCACATTTTTAGTCACCCATTTATTTCTACCTATTCCTGCAAATCTGAAGGAATAGTTTCCGCTGTCAGTTTTGTTCAGGTCGCAGATCAAAATACTGCATAGTGGCTTTGGTGGGCTTGGATAAACCTCCCAACTTGAAGATGGAGACCCGATATATTCCACTCTTGCTGCATAGTCTGGACTGACAGGACGTTTTGACTCATTTGTACTGTAAATGATCGTGGCAGTAAAATTGTGGCCATTCCAATATCCATTCTTCATCCAAAACCAGTGTGCATCATTAATACTAATTTTAGACTTCACTATACATTTGATTTCAGTGCAGGACCCCTCTTTGGCTGTCAGGTCACGCTCTAGTAGTTCAAAGAGGTCTTGAGTAAAAGAAAAATCTGTGGTGGTGAAAACACAAGTGGAAAAGTTAGATAATGTTTGAGACTTGTGAACATGCGAATGTTGGGAAAAGCAAACATTGTTATCATAGTGGAGTAATAAAATTCCTACTTTTTATCAGGGCCAGAAATAGGAACCACCCAACTGTCTGAGCATTCATCTTCTTGCAGCACTAAAGCTGAAAAGGACAAAAAAAAAGTTTTTGTACATAATTGTGTGAAATATATTTACTGTAAACTAGCCTTGTTATTATCAATGCAAATCGGCAGGCTTTGAGTTTTTCTTCCTCTTTTTTTGTTTTTCTGTGGTTCTGCATTTTATTCATTTCAAGATAGTTGGGAATTTTCCAACATTGCAATAATATTATTTTTTCTCCCACAAGTAGCAGAATTTGTCATTTAGTTTTAGTAAAAAAAGATTGAGAGAAAAAGACCTTAACCCAGAAATAATTCTGAATGTTTTGTTGAAAACCTCAGTGTCTCTTGATAGATCTATATCTGCAGATCCCAAAACATTGTAATACATTTGAAGGCTGCAGGTTACAGGTTTTTTCTTTTTCCTTTAATACCTTAAATATTATGATATATATAAAAAATGTTTTTTTTTTACATCAGCCGTTTATTTAAATTACTTTTGTCTGCTTCACTAGCCATGCAAGTTGAGTCACTGTACACAAGACATATAAGTGCAAACAATCCTTTGTCCCTCCACAATGTAAACATATTATCATCAATTAATAAAGGCTTCATATACAGCATATACATCACTTACGAATGCCACTTTATGGATATATGGATATGGATTTATGGAAATACATTTTTCAATTCAATTGAAGGTCTTTAAAATTAAAACTCCTCGTTAAATTTAAGAGATTACTTTTTCAGAAAAATTAGGAAATCAAATAAAAATAAACTTGTTCTTACCTCAGATGATCCGCTTATTGCAGTCTGTAGCACACACCATCCCTCTTAAAATATGCATAAGATTTAAAAAAGTACGTTTTCGCAGTTGATCCAAAATCTCAAAGAATTTGCATGCTCAATCATGCAAGCGAGAGAACCCAATCTTTTAGACTTATACTGATGGAGGTAATGTAGTATTTGTTTCCTTCAACTTGACTCCTATAATATGTGTAGTATGCAGCTGAACTTCCTCTCACTTCCTCTATTTAATGCTTTTGTTAAAAGCGAAAGCCACTGATCAGGGTGGGCGAAGTATTTTACAGAGACAGAGCAGCTTGCAGTGCTTGCCATCTTTTTGCAAAATGTATGCGTACACACTACAGTGTTTACAGTGTCCTTAAGTCCTTCAGGCTCATCAAAAAGAGGGAAAACGTATCAGAAGACTCATGAAATATTGTATGCAGTAAATGGTGCGTTTATTATATACCAAAACATAAAAGTTAATAAGAACCACACTTAGAATGGTAAACAATTCACAGGGTAAAACACGTGACTTCACTTCCCCTCCCCAAGAGCAGCAGCCACTATCTTCTCAGCATCAGCTGCCATTTCATCAATGGCGCCATTTAAGGCTTGCAGCATTGCAGTGAAGGAGCGGCTGACAGAACGGGCATGTCGGGGCATTGCCATCTCCACCAGTTTCGACGAACCTGCGGCCAAGTCCTTTTCTGCCGCTGCTAGCCGCTTTTTCACTTCACCTTTGGTGACCTCCACTGACAGTGCACAAGTCCGCAGCCTTTTAAGGACTGTGGGTTCCAAGCCACGCTGTCGGGCCAGTCGCTCGACCGATTCAGTGTCCAGACACAGAGATAATTGTGCTTTGGTTAGAATCCGCACTGCTACACTTGAGTCCACCATGGAGGCCACAAAGGGAACAGGAATAGCCGACACCCCACCAGATAGCGAGGCGGCGGCCCAAACTAGTGCTTTGAATGCCTCCTTTTTCTGAGTGACCAGGGAAGAGTTAAGCGTCGGCAGAGCCAAGAGAAGGGCGTGGGCTCGGATCTCTGGAAGGTCTCTTCCCATGTCCTCCAACAGGCCAGAGAAGTCAGACTTCTCCAAGGTGGAGGGTCTCACTAGGTAGACTTTAGGCTGTGCAACACCTTGTGATGTCAACACTTCCAGACTGGCTTTCGTCTTTTCTTCTAGGCTTTTTTCTGTATCTTTTGCTGAAGCTAAGAGGATAAAGTACACTGTGTGTCGCTGCAGTGACCTTGCCTCCAGGAACACCACCACACTGTTGGGTTGGGGTGTCTTTGTGAATGTCATGAACACGGCATTGTACCGGAGGAACTTAAATCTATCCATGTATCCATCAGGTTCAAATGGAGAGGTGGATGGGACAGGCGGCAGATCCCACAGGCGAAAGTCGGGGTGTTTAGGATTAGGGTAGCCTGCCAAATCCTCCGGGGCGATAGGGGATGGAGACGGAGCTGTTCCATCATCCCCCGGACCAAGGCCAAGGAGGGAGTTTATAAACGTGGATTTTTCATCCCCACGGTCCCCCACCACAGCTAAGTTGATCCTGCTGATAAGGAGATCTTCCACTGCATCCTTGACCTCTGATAACTTATTGTTCTCTATGGACTCTTTAAGGGTCTCAAGGAGGTTCAGGCCTCTGAAAACATCAGCCATTGTCTGTGAAAAGATAAAGATTACAATTATTCATATGAATACTTAAGGATATTTGCAAACAAAGCATTAAAACTGATCAACCGGTGTGACAATAGACATCTAACATAGCAATAAAAATGAATAAAACTGGCAGCTTTGGGATAGTAACCCTCAACCCCCTAGAAGAAACCTGAATTATTATATAACTGAAATCATATTTCTGGTGTCACAGGAAACTTGCTCATTCAGAACCGGTGTACATTTGTTGCACTTGATGTAAGTTGTTAGTAAGTTGTGATTTATACATTACTAAAGTAAAAGTGGTTGCACCGTGGAGATAAGTTACAACTTAACTTCAAACAACTAAATAGATACAAATGCCCCCTAAGGTGGTGTAAATCATAAAATGTCCACAAAAGGTGAAACAGCAGTTTTTCTGCCACACAGCATTATTTTCTCATTAATTGCAGCCTTTTCGTGACACAATAAAGATCTAATTTATTGATATGATATTTATATATCAAGATTGACTGTTGATTGGTCACTTGCCTTAGTTATGAATTTAAATTCAAACCAGTTTGGTTATGCCACATTTTAATAGCTGATTTCGTTACAAATTAACAAGTTGTTACTAAGCCTATAGTGTCAGCTTTACAGCCCAACTTAGGAGAACACTTAAACACATAGCTGGTGCAACTCAGTCAAGGTTTACATGGTACATTTTTTAAATCAGAATCTACTTTTTGGCACAGCGAGTATTGGCAACCAATGCAGAGTTTCGGTTTCAATACCATGTTGCACACACTCACCTACGGATGTTGAGAAGCAGCTCCGTGGTTGAAATATTTGTTCTCAGTTGTAAAATGTTGATTCTTCTGCAGCTCTGAAGCACCAGCAGCGTCAGGCTGATCTATTTAAGGTGTTTATCCAGCTAGTGGAACATTCTAATCCTGTTAGCTCAGCCCTAATCCAAAATCACTTTGAGTACATACATGCATGTATATGTAACCCTACTTGCATTCATGCATATGCCTTCAACAAGGCACAAACATTTACAAGCACACACACATAGAAGCACACGTTAAAATAAGTTCATGTTACATTAGCATTTATTTTTTTAAAACAGCTTACATTGTTATTATTATCAAGCAATAGCAGGAATATTATTACAATGAAAATATTTTCTAATAAGCACAATTGTTAAAGAATGGCCAAAACTCATCAGTATGGCAAGGAAGTACCTTAGAAAATATATTTATTAACAATACTGTTTCTCCTCACTGTCCACAATGTTGAAGATGAGATATTAGGTGTCCTAATTGTCAAATGGTTAAGGCGCACACCAAATTACTGCAATGTCCACGGTTCAATTTCACTTTACATGACCTTTACATGATTTCTGTTCCTCTACACTTCCAAAAAAAACAACAAAAAAAACAACAAAAGATAAAGATGTATAAATTAAAGTCAGAGCCTTAACCAAGTATTTTTTTATTGCCCTAAGTTTACTATAAACCTTAAGTGTGACAGATCAGGCTCAGGTGTATGAAATTAAATGACTACCTATTTTGTAATTCAGGTATAAAGATTTGTCAGTTAATGATGATACGCAGAACCTGTAAAGAATTAAATTTTTGATGTAGGCATCATTCTTGTAGACACACAAAAAACATGGTCATCAATCTGACAGTTGGCAGTTTAATTCTGTTATCCTTCATTAATAAAACAGTTATATGAATTTTCACATATTATAAAGAGAGAAAAGCTGCAGAATCTTGCTTTGTTCCCTTTTACAAGGAACCCAGTATATGCAAAATGTGTTTCAGTTGTTATTTTTGGCTCACATCCTTTCACACCACCATTTCCTGTCTGTCTTGCAGCTCAATACAGCGCTGTTTTATGTTTTTTCTACACCAATATATTATGTGAATTCCTCTGAAATACAATAATTGGACTCAAATTCAACATTTCAAAAACCTAAAAGAACATTTTAATGGCCAGCAATCCTAGCCTTGTCTTTCTGATAACTAAGTTAACACTTTTCTCATCTGTGATTAACATCTGGGTGCAGTAACACACTTTCGTCACATTGAGGTTGCCAGGCAACCTCGACATGAGGACATCACTGTGTGTTTTCTGTTTTTGTACAGAGTTTTAAATTGTGAACTTTAGAGCTGGTGGTAGATGCATTTTCAGCTTTAGACAGAGGCAGGCTATCTTTTCCTTCTTGTTTCTAGTCTTCATGCTAACTGTCTGCTGGCGCTAGCTGTATTCTTAATGCACAGACATGTGAGTGGTTTTATCTTCTACCTCTGAGGAAGGAAGCAATTAAGTGATTGGCCCAGAAAGTCTAACTACTATATTTCAACTTTAAACATTCTATGTACATTGCATAAACTTATATTAAAAAAAAAAAATCATATACAAAAAAAGGCACAATAACACAAAATACCCTTCTACACATCTTCGACATCGTCCATTGGTTTGTGGTGTACTTCAAGTTCTGCTTTATTGCCATCGCCATGTTGGTTTTTCATAGCCAGCTGCAGGGATGCACTACTTAGACAGTCTGATCTGAGTCGTAAAGTGCACTGGACAGACTCACTAAAAACGACTTAATCACACGGTAGCCACGCCCTAAAGCATACCCTGCTTTATCATGTATTTTACTCTAAATGGGAACATCATTTACAAAAATTACTATTATGCTGTATGGAAGAAGAATTGAAACTAGAGATTAAGACCATAAACGCATTAGGAATAAATTAGCCAACAAATCAAGTGAGAAGTAGGGTCATTGATTCCCCATAAGCATCAATACTATCAGACTTTTTGTTTTTCTGCAACCCATGAAGCTGCCCCCTGCTGGCCACTAGAAGGAATGCAGGTTTAAGACTTTTCCACATTGGCTTCACTTCACAGATGCGGAAGCCCTGTCCACTAATTATATACTGTCAATGGTCCCAAACACATTTATCTACAAAAACTAATAAAAAATATTATCTAGACTAATACAACCTTTTATACAGTGCAATACAGTGATCAGTGCTATGAGCAGAGCTGATTCAGCAAATGACTTGTACTATATTATGATGCTTAAACAATGTTAATTATTTGAGGCTTACCACCGGGCTCATTTTGGCTTTTGACAGCAAGAAGTTACCACATCAGAACAAATTAGAGAAGTATTTCTCAAACAACTAAGCAACACTATCCTCACCCATTACATCCTTCACAGTGGAATACAGTGCCCCATCCTCACCTTCCTCCTCATCTGGTACACAATACTTTGTCTCCTCATCCTCCCCTATCATCTCCTCTTCCTCTCTTCCCTCTCCATCTTCTCTCTCCTTTGCTTTTTCTTTTTTAATTTCAGCATACTCTGTCTCTGGGGTCCCTTGTGTTGTCCCTGCCTCCGCTGGATTTGGTCTTTTAATCAGGGAGAAATCAAGGTTGGAGTACTCCACATCTGATTTCCCTGCCGCCACAGCTCCTCCTGCTTCAGCTGCCTCTTGGTCGATGGCCTGTTCATCTTCCACTGCTTGACCAGCATCAATCTGTCAGATACAACAGAAATGTGTCATTTATCACCTCAAATGGCTCATTTCAGCATGAAGAAGTGGTTTTACTAAAAACTCCTGCACTGCTGTTTCTTGTAATAAAAATCCCACACATTTGGGTTTTAACTAATCTATTGTATGACCAGCTTTACAAATATAAATACCAGTGGCTCCTCGTGACTTGTCACCATCTCCAGAGTCTCAGTCACATTTCCATAGGTCCTCTGTTTTTTCCTGAGGATAAATATTTTTTCAACAGTAACAAACATTGATATACAAATAACAAGTAAAGATTACTAATCTCACACTTGAACAGACTTTAAAGGACCATTATAGTAGTTTTGTAGAAATGTTGGCTCCTTAGGCCAATTAATAAACATTTTCCATTACTGATAACCATGATCCCAAAGCATGTTATACAAGTCCTTTATGAATTGGGAATTCACATTCAGAGCATAGAAACAGATAGACCAAAATAATCTTAACAAAAAGTAAAATAAGAACTTCAGTGTACCTGTGGCATTTTGTCACCAAGCAGCAAATGACTGCGGATATAAGAGCGCCAATAAAAAATGTAATGATCATTTCCAGCCGAGTCACAACTCCTAACAATTTCATTATATGACCTGCATGACCTGCAACCAAGAGGAGAACATTGTAAAAAATAAAGTAAAAATTCAAAACTAAGGCATGACATGAAGATCCTGTACAGTTTGAAGGGTTTGAAAGGTCCTAGAGCCTCTATTGGCAGAAATGGAATATAATATTCATAGGTATGTTTTCTTTAATGTATAATAACCTAAATATATTAATCATTATGTTTACATAATGTTATGTTATAATGTTTACTACAGACGCCACTGATCACCTTCCATGAAGTCCGCCATGTTGAACCGCCATGTTTTGACAGTAGCACAGAATGGACAAACAAAGCACCGGCTCTAGATAGGGGTGTTCGTGTTTTTGGGATCTGCAAATACACTGCTAGACTCCAATACATCCTACACACTGGACCTTTAAGGGTTACAGGGTACAATTTAGATTGGAGATTAGAGAGCATTTAAAGTGTGAGTGGTTACCTTCTTCTCCTTCTTTGTCTTCGTCCACAATGAGGTTCCCTTTTACTTCTCCATTTTTATTTCTGCTGACACACTCAACAGTGTTATTCTGGTTTTTAACAGTTAGGATGACGGTGCTGTTGACTGTAAGGTTTGACACACTGGTACTGACAAAGTACTCAGGGTGGTTCTCTAACAGCGGCCATTCAATGGTGGGTAGAGGAGAGCCCTGACTGATACACACACAGGTCAGAACCTCCAACTTATTTTTGCATCTAGAGCTGTTTAGGATCTTTGGATGCACTGTAAAAAAAACAAAAACAGAATCACAAAATGAAATAAAGTGTGCAGTAAAGTGATAGAAGATTAGGCAGAATATAAAAATAATTTTCCTTTATATGGAGCCAGTCTACTTACAAGTCACAATTACATTAGCATACACAGTCATGTTAAAGTGTACTGCTGTACAGACATACTGTCCAGTATGTTCTGCTGTCACATTATGGATGACAATAGTGGCTGTTTCAGTATTGTTCTGCGGGCCAATTCCAGTTTTATTGTGCAGGTTTTTGTTGGATGGGACTTGAGTCCACATGACGAGAGACGAAGGGAAAGTTTTGCAAGTCAGATGCAGAGTGTCGCCCTCCTTTATGGTTCTATTTCCAGTTATTTGAGGTTTCTTCACATCTTTAAGACAAAAAAATTGGAGCAAAAATTTTGAATTTGTTTGATAATGTAATTTGTAAGCATTCTTAACACATGGCTTCAACCAAAAGCTTTAGTCACTTTGACACATTTCAACATCTACTTGTATACTACAGTGGTGAGGCTGTAAACACACACAAACATGAAATGAGAATATATTGTTGACGGCAAGTTCTCAGATCTACTTTTAAATTTATACTGTAATTTACTGACAAACAAATTCAAAGACATTCTTGAGTGGTGTAGAAGTCATAAGTAAAAGAATACAATATAGTCTATTTTACTCACCAGTCACATTCAGAGTCACTGTCTCCTCTGTAGTGATGTTGTTTGTGAAGCTGACCTTACAGGTGACATCGGTGCCGTGGTGTTCAGCTGAAGGGTTAAAGGTCAAAGTTGAGCTGTGTCTCTGTGTGACAGCAGTCAGATTCTCAGTCTTGAACTCAGTGATATTTCCTGTGATGTGAGAGTCGTTC